AAGTAGACTACTCAAATGTATTTGTAGTTTGAAAATTTTTGCAATTTTAAACATTCTATATATGTGTATTTATGTGTATATTTTAAAGATCCCAAGTTCAAAATCAAATACTGAACATCTTATACGTATGTATATTAATACAGATTCGTGTTGAAAAATAGATACTTTTCAGTAGTAGTTTTACATGCTCTTTTTAGAGTGTACTTACTACTTATTATATTTACTTTGCAAAATACTTATGCACAAAAAATTTACTTTATAAATTGAAAATACAAATGTTTGATTTTATGCACATGTATTCCAAGTCCTTAGGATGGGTTAAATTATGTCTTTTTCATGAAAATGTTTGGTTTTCTTACAAATTATGAGATGTATATGTAACAAAAAAAAATTGGATACATTTGGATACATTTTTGGCTTGGTCAGGGATACATTTTCTTGAGACGGCGCGGCAACACAGGTGGTGACCAAGAACAACCACCAATATCGTGTCAATGACAAGCTCTTTAACGGAACCCGTGAAGCAATTGAGAAAGCAAATCAAATGATGGTTTACATTAATGCAATCAGCAAGAGTGTTAAAGAAGAAAAGCTTGAACTTCTGGACCTAAGTAAGGTTCTCATCCTTAAAGAACAAGTATCGGAGGTGGTGCAAGCGTGCTAAATGGCAAAAACGGGCATCGTGAACACGAACCTGCTTGATCGAGAGGAAATCCATAGACTTATACTCGAAGAAGAGTCCTTACCATACCAAAACTCAATCGAGGCTATAGAACACGGATCGGCATCCGTATACTCGAACGGAACACTTCTTCCATGCCAAAGGTGAAGCCGGACAGCTATCGACTCTTAATGACACGAGCTGCTATTATAAATGGACAACACGTGGTACTCGACTATGAGAAAATGTTGATAAATCAGGACGAAACGTTCGGTATTAAAAATGATTGCCCGTCCATTGACAATTACTCAATTTGCGCACCCAAATCGTTGGCTAGACTACCCGAAGATGGATGCATAGCGAGGTTGTTAAAAGGCTGAAATGCGAAATGTCACTTCGAACCATCCAGCAGCATAATCATAGAAATGATGTACGAGTTATAACTATTCCTAACGAACTTTTGGGGTAAAATCCAGGGAAAAAACTACGAAAACGTCCTGAATGGAACATATGTCGTTTTGCTGAACAACGAAACCATCGTAGTGGGAAACCAAACGTTTACCAGCAGGTCGACAAGGATGGCAAACGTGACGATTAATGGCCTGAAGCTGAATTTGGACTACATCCACGAGCTTAGCGTAACAAACATCCGACACCTACGAAAATTGGGCGAAACCTTTCACTTTTCGCTGATTATCGACACCGTTGCTTTGACGATCCTTGCATCAATATGCTACGTAATTTGGAAGAAGATTACTACAACTATCTACTTTCCCAGGCATGCAAAAAGAATCGAACATACGTTAGCATAATTGAATCTATGGGAAGCGCAGCGTCAGCAGTTAGTTCAGCCGGTTAGACAGTAAGTCATAGTATTAAGATATAGGTTGTATTCATTCCATTTTGGACAGCGGGAGCAGATGGTAAATACACTTGTACAAAACTAATTATTGTCTTTTATTTAGGAAGGACAACTCGGGGCCGCCGTGCGGCCCCCAACTTTAACTTTTTCGGGCTCACAGATGTGAGCTCGATGACTTATATTTTCTGGGAAATAGAAAAAGTGGAAGGTATTTTATGTACAGATATGTATGTAAACAAAACTACTAAGTCTCATATATTTTCTATCGGTTTCCAATTATTTATTTTTTTGCTTTTCTCTTATCAAAAGAGTTTTAAATATGTACTTTTTTTATAAAAACAAAAGCACATCTAAATTTTTAGTGTTAGCAACGGGCTTTTTCGTGCCTTTTCGTACTTTTATGAAATTTTACTGAACGCCCAGGCCCGCACGAGTTCGTGCTGACAGCAAATATTCCGGCCAGTACCCGCGGGCTTTTGGCAGGGGCCCGTGCCCATCTCTAGTACGAATAATACATAGCGAGAGTAATAGAGATCGCAATACAACAAAGTAAAACTCACAAAACTTTTGAAATATATGTAAATTGAAGAATCAACAGTTCAGTAAATGCAACAATAGAAAAGCAGCACAGCGGCAAGGCAAAAGAAGCAGAAGTCATCGAAAGCAGCAATTACTGAAGAGAAAGTACCCAGCAGGAAAAAGATAAGTTAAGAGAAATTTGTGTTGAATCAACTTTGCTTTTCATTTGCGTATTTTGTTGTATGTTCAATAGTAAATAGTATAATATATTGCATTTAAATAAACAATTTACTAAAGAAATTTTGTAAAAGCCGAAGAAAATAAGAATTTGTGAAATTAAAAACAATTAATTTTTCAAGATTAAAAGCAGATTGCGTTTATATACGAGTGCAAATTTCTTTCGAATTTTCGTAAAGAAATTCGTTCATTGGAACAGTAGAACCTGAAAACTGGTTATTAATTTAAAATCTGTAAAAAAGTATAAACAAATTTGGAAGGAAAATTGAAAATTGGAATATATGTAATTATATTATATTGATAAAAATTTGTTAAAATGGATGCTCAAGAAATATTAAATATGACTGTATTGTTACTAACGACAAAGCTTGGGGAGTTAGATTTACCACTGGACGGACGGAAGAAGGATCTGAGTGAAAGACTTCTCAGACATTATGGATTACTGACCGATGGGGAAGAAGACTAAGAAGAGAAAGAAAATGATTTTTAGTCGGTGTCATCACGGGGGGAAGCGGTTGTTGTCAGCCCTAGGCTAGTCGCAGGTCCCCATTTTACTTTTAAAGATATTCCAGACAGTTTGGCTTTATTTAATGGAACAGACGATTTTGATGTTAATCAGTGGGTGGAGCAATTCGAGGAGAGAGAGAGGAACTGTAGGGTGGACCGAGGTTCACAAGTTCATTTACACTAAACAGCTGTTGAGAGGGGCAGCGAAGTCGTGCGTTAGAAGTCAAGTAGGTCTGAAAGACTGGAATAAGTTGAAAGCGGCTCTCATTGCAGAATTCGGGGTCAGCTTATGTTCAGCAGAGGTGCACAGAATATTGAGAAATCGACAAAAGAAGTATAATGAGACATTCTTAGAGTTGTTGTATGCATTGATGGAAATCGGGAAAAAGATTAATTTAGATGAGGCAAGTCTGTTAGATTATTTTGTGGCAAGGATACCGGACACTAGGTTCAACAGAACCGTCTTATATCAAGCCAAAAGTATGAGAGAGCTAAAAGAACAGATAAAAATTTACGAAAAGATTCCGACGAAACCGCGGTAGATTTTAAGCCCAAAAGTGAAAAGGTGGATAAAGATAAAGCGCAGGCAGGCGAAAGGAAATTTTTTAAATGTGGAGATGCGTCTCACGTAGCTAAGGACTTTACATTAAAGGACGAACAGGTCAAGTGCTTCAAGTGTAGTAAGATGGGATACAGGTCTCATGAATATCCAGGAGAGAATGTTAAGGTGAAGTCAGAAAAGACGAATTTGAACACGGTAAAGAAGATCAAATGGAAACCTTCGAGAGCAGATATGGATTTAAGATTCAAAGAGTTAAAGGTGAGTAATACCATTTCCCAGCTGTACTTGATACGGGAAGCGGTTTATGCTTAATACGGCAGTCGACGGTAAACGAGTTAGATATTTGTTTAAGGATTAATGGAGATAAGCGAAGATTAGAAGGGATAGGTCATTGGGAGATATGTACCTAAGGAAGTTTTAACGCGAAGGCGTTGGTGGACGACGTGGAGATAGGGATAACGTTTCATATTATTAAAGATACAGACATGGATTGTCCAGTTATTTGGGTCGTTCGATACTAAGTCAAGTGGATTTGATAATCCGAGAAGATGGTGATGTACTAACGTACAAACAAAAGGAAGGCAAGGAAACGAGAGTTTAAGAGAGTAGCACGGAGTTGAGGGAAGAATTTCCATAATTGTGCCTACAGGTTGAGGAGTTAGAAGGTTCACGACACGACCTAACTCACCTCAGTAAAGGTGATTCGGCTGCTATTGACGAACTGGTTAGGCGGTATGTACCGTTGAAGTCTATAGAATCTCAAGTTGATATGAAGATTGTACTAACGGATGATACGCCGGTTTATCAACGTCCTAGGAGAACGTCCTACGAGGACCAAAAATTTATCGAAAAACAGATTAAAACGTGGTTAGATGAGGATATAATTACTACGAGTAATTCGAACTATGTTTCTCCAACGTCTTTGTTGTGACTACCGAAAGCTTAAGGAGAAGGTTGTTCGCGACAATTTTCCCATGGCAGGTGTTCACAACATAAGATTTAGAAAACGGATTTTTCCATGTCCCCGTTGAAGAAGGTTCACGGAAATAAAGAGCATTTGTGACAAGCAAGTGCGAGTATGATTTTTTTTATGTACCATTCGGAATATCGAATTAGAGTTGATTAATGACGGGACTATCGCTATTTACATGAACGACATAATCATTCCATCGGCAGACGAGAAAGAGGGTTTTTTAAAACTAGAAAAGGTTTTGAACGTAGCAGTAAAGGTAGGACTGCGCATAAAGTGGAGAAAATGTAGCTTTCTGAAACGGAAGGTAGGTTTTCCCGGTTATATTATAGAAAACAACACAGTGCGACCATCGATAGAGAAAACTCGAGCAGTAAAATCGTTCAAGGTACCGAAGGATCAAAAAGCAGTTCAGAGGTTTGTGGGGTTAACATCGTATTTTCGCAGATTCATTAAGAACTACGCACTGCTACGAGGGTGCTTAAATGGTGTCATGGTATAATTCACAGTGTGAATTGTATCATGCCTCCATGAACTAAGAGGGAAGCCTGGTATTGAAGCCTTCGGCAATATTCCTTAACAATCCAAGCTGGAGTGTTGTTTTATTGCTGAAAATAGCAAGACTCCGCTGGCAGTGCAGCAGAAATGGGTGGAGATTGATGCGAGACTGTCGAGCCTCGTAATGAACTACGTACTCGACAACCCCGAAGGTTCTGACCCAGAGTTCGACTCGTCGGAATCCCTACGAGGATACCGGGTAGTCAAGTGCGCGAGCCAGTTCTCCTTGGATTTCCTTGCTGGATGCGTCGCTAAGATCAGCGACACTTTTGTCGGCTTGAAGCTCAAGCTGATCCCAGCAAAGGACATTCCAAGGAGACGACGTGCGCCCATTTGGATGCCTCCGATGGATGAACCAGGCGAAAAGTTGCTGCGGTGTCTTAAGCTGCATAATAAAGACATACCGGCGATCGAGGAATGGGAGCTTATAAAGATTGAAGAGCCAAGAAGGCCTACAAATAAGCCCATTCTGCTAGCTATTTGCGCAGAATCACTAGACGCCTGAGAGAAGGCTGACTATCTGCTCTGCTTCGGTATTGGTAGAAGAAGATCCCGGGGTTGATGGAGCTGGTGAGCTTCTGGTGTGAAGCTGATGGATGACCCTGAACCGGAAACTTAAAGTAGCCCAAATAACTCTGCAGCACTCCAAATGTGCTACAGATAATCTAGTTTTTCTTCTCATGAGGAGGATATAGACATTAGCCTAATTCAACAGCCCTGGCTCAAGCACGATACAGTCACGGGACTAAACATAAATAATTATAAACTCTACTATAAGAGCGAGGTGGGTAAACCGCGGGCGTGTATTCTTATCAAGAACGGTCTAAATGCATTCCTTTGCTCTAATTTCAGCACATCAGATACAACAATGGTTAAGGTGGAGACCACCGGACAGCCAAGTATACTCCTGGCCTCATCATACATGGTCCACGATAGGGACAGTCCGCCAACCGAAATCAAGGAGATAAAAGCCAAAAACTCCAGACAAGTTATAGTCGTCGGCTGCGATGCGAATGCGAGGCATCCAGTATAGGGTAGTTCTAGGTGACAGGTAATAAGATCAACGGAAATAAGGTCAATTGACTTTATTTCCCACCCTGGTGCGAAATACGCGAATAACGCGTACCCCGCGCGACCGGCGCGCACACCACGCCACGCTACGCCGCGGCCCCCCC